GAATTGGGAATTTATCTACCAATCTGCTAAATTGAACACTTTATTAATTTTCAATAGGTCACTATTGAAAAATACACAAATGTCCAACTGTTGCAATGGTGATCAAAATTATCACCGATTACCTGCAAACAGCGCATTCCCTAACACAGATTTAAAAATCGAATTCGATCCTGCCTCACTAAACGGTGCTCATTTAATCACCGTGTGTGGTGGTGTCCGGTTGACGGTGTCCGCAGCAGCAGCATCAGTAGCAGCAGTGCTTTCGGCGTGTGGCGTTGAACATCGTTATCCTGTACACCACGAAAGGCATCCTGAAAGCAGCGAGCATCCATAGAAGGAAGAAGAAGCCGCACCGCGATCGAAATCAGTTTCCTCGTGAGAGCTGTGGGTCATCAATGCCTAGCGCGTCAACCTTGCTCCAAACAATTAACAGATCGCCAGCCTCATCCGTGTTGAACACCCTAATAGCTCAGCATTACTCAACCATCACGACTAAACGGTCCTTTTCAGGACCAGCACAAAATTGTTAAAGAGTATTATTTGGAAATTTGTCAAGGTCATCAGTTCCCGCAACCAGCTCAACCTGTCTATAGAAGGTGTGGAATTGTAGGCCTGATTGTACTGGTGAGATTAATCATATCGTCCGGCCATTTTCCAGAGACGGAGCTGTTCCGCTGGTAGGAAGTGATAAAAATCCACATATAGAATTTGAAAGAAGTGGAAATAATTCGCTTCAGGTGCATATTCAGGTTGAAAAGTGAACGACAAGTTAAATTTATTAGTCAGGGACAAAATACTGTTTAATATAAATGATTTTTCTTCATACAGTTTTACCTGCTTTACTACAAATCCTCAGAAAGCCAAAAAATATTCAAATTTGTGAGAAAATTAGCTCTTACGAGCTCAATCTCTCAATTGCCATGCTTTTATGACACCCAATTTGTGATTTCCTTTCATAGATTACAAAATAGAGTAGGGTAGAGAACTACTTCGGTCTAATAGCTGATTTTGGGCCTATCGAGCAGAAAACTTCAAATAAATCTAAATAAATGATTTCAGAGTTAACAAGTCAATTAGGCGTTTTGTACGATAATTTAGTTAATAAGCTACCGAATAAAGTCAATGAAAACGCGTGATATGAAGGTTTGCACCCATTATTCCCACAAACAAAAGAAGTTCTCCGACCGAATCAATTTTTTTCTTTATCCGATAGGCCGAAGTGAATTCATTGGGGGTTTCAATGCGTAAGGTCAAGTTTAGAATCCGTAGACCGAGTTTGGCGTCAAGAAGCAGTGTTAGACTTATAACAATATCTAAACAATTTGTTTCTCTATATCAAATTTTACAGTACGTACATAAAGGTAAATAAATTTGGAAGCCATCAGTAATAATAATATTTCGTTTGGTGCTAAACTGCGCTAGATTAAGAAAGACTAAGTGCGGGTTGTGCTTAATAAGCCGGAAATGGGGTAGTGAACCCTATCTTACAGTACAAAACATGTCTGGTACCGCATTTAGATTAACATTCTAAGTCCCTCCTTTTTTACATATTCTGCTCAAACGCTACTTTCTGCCCCGCCCCATTCATACAATTCGGAAGGAAATCCTGTGTAAGTTGCGGCTTACTTGCCAGCCTATAGCTGGCCCGATTTACCCCGGCGGGGCGGCTACGAGCAGAGTACTTCCCCCAAAGACGTTCGGATTTGGATGGATTGTTAAGAAAAGAAAAAGAAAAATACAATTTAAGACGTCTATTATCCTCTAACCTTTCCCTTTTCTCCTCGTTGTCCTCGGTGTCACTCGGTGGGGCCCTTCGACGATAGCGGCGACGGCTGCAGATCGTACTTCTTCACGTTAGCTGCGTAGCAGCGATCCTTGGTGTTTAGCGGGGGGGATGAGCAAGGCTCCTTTATCGGAACCCCCTCGGCGACGATGGTGACGAATCACCGGACCAACTACTCGCCGTAGATGGTCCCGGTAGTCACCGCAGCGCACTACCCAGGCGAACGCTCCTTCGGTTCTGCCTGCTTCGTCCCTCCTTGGCTCTTAACTGCGGTGGCGAGACTGGCTCTACTGGCTGAGCCACCGCAGAGAGGACGGTGGGTGTTCGGGGATCCTTGGGGTTTAGCCGGGAAGCGGAAAAATCCTCGAAATTTAGCTTCCCTTGTCGGCGATCCGACACCCTTCACTTCAGCTCACGAACCACGGCACTTTTCAAGGAAACGACGACACTTTCACGCGACGATGCTGGGAATTATCCCTCCAGCTGACACACGCCACGAAAACGGCACTCCAACTCTCGTTTTTACTTAAACGGACCGGGCAAAAACCGCGTCGACTTCCAACCGTGGCTCGTAAGTTTCTTTTTTTTGTACTAGCTGACAATCACGGACAATACAACAACCGCCATCGTTCTCCCACAACCGCGCTCGAATGTTGTGCTGGTTATGTTTTTTCGCCTTATTTTGCAGCGGGAGGAGAAACGGGACCTAGCTTTATTCTACACGCGAGACAATTTTAAACGATATTTTTTACACTATATTCTAATCCTAAAAACATGCCTACACGAATAAAATCTACGGTGAAAATAACAAATTAAAACATTTACAAATAAAGCAGTGGTGAGTATGTTGCCGAGCGTGCGACCAAAACAAAAACAAATCATAACAGACAAGGCACACGCTCATGGCAAACACGTTAAAAGGGTGGGTTATTAATTGTCACCCTAGACGAGGGTTACACCTGAGAGGGGTGAGCTATTTTGAGTGCAGAATGTGTAAAGAAGGAGGGACTTCAGTTGTTAATCTAAATGCATATATAGAGGTACCAGACATGTTTTGCACTGCACTGTCCTCTGTGAACAGTTATTGGAAAACAAATGATGTGTAGTTTCCGATCGATGCCACCGCCAACAACAGCAGTGACATCTGATGGAACATGAAAGCAGAAGCTTGACAAAATGATTAATCCGTTTTTCCCTCAGCTTTCATTCCGCTTTGCACGATTCGTTTTTTACTCAATCAACCTTGTAGTGACGTCAAAATGTTTGTTTCGATCGGCGCTTACATAGGAAATTCAATATGGATTATAGAATTTTTTGTAGGGGAATTGGCTCTAATGTTGGCCTATGGATCTAAGATTGGGCCCATCGCTAAAAATGTGCAATTTATCAATTTTATCCAGATGAACGCGTCATTGGGACGGTACTATTGAATATTTTTGGTTGCTTTTGAAAATTTAGTTGATTGCTGAATTTATGTATGAGCCAAAATTAGAGGCATAATGTTGAGGTAATTAATTGATTATTGAATTAGCACTCTATATACCATGAAAAAACAGCCTGTATGTGAGTTTTTGCCTGTTTTCAAGTGAAGAGTTATCATAAAAAAAAACAATGCGCCAGCTAGTATTTCCCGGCGACTTTACAAATAAATACAATCAAACAAAATCATCATGCAGAACGAGGATTTGTTTCACTTCATATTTCACAAAATTGCTTTTGAGTGTTATGACATCGTCTCCCGCAAAGTTTACATTTTGACATAGGATTACGTCTCTTGGCAACATATTGGGGATACAATTAAAAAAAAAAAAAAAAAAATCGACCGTGTTACCAAAAGTGGTCAGGTGCTGACCATTTATAACTCTGTCAATAGCGGATGGATTTTAATTCTCAACAAGCCAACTGATATGTAGTTTTTCTTCAAAGCGGCTAAATTCAATACTTCATCAATTTTCAATAGGTTACTATTGAAAATTACACAAATGTCCAACTGTTGAAATGGTTATCAAAATTATCACCGATTGCCTGCAAAAAGTGGTTTCCCTAACATAGTCGCCAAATATTGATACCGAACACGTAATCCTACGTCAAATCTACGGTCGAGTCTTGGATACAACCTCTTACTTTTTTTATTGGTGACGGTTATTACCTGGATGTTCAACGGTACGTGGAAACTTCCTCTGTTCTTCCTCTCTGCTTACCTCCACTCCATACTTCGCTTTACTATCACTTGAATAGGAACTTTCTTGCGACTATCGTCTGCAAAGATCACCAGGCTAATGACTGTGCCTCTTGGTGAACGATGACCTCGAACCGTGGCCGTTGAACTGTCGTACGTTCCAAGAATTCTCCACGCAATGGCCCCCCATTGGCAGTGTATTCATGACTCCATACAGCGTCCTCTGGCGGTGGCTAGTGGCATTGTCCTACATTTTATAGGGAAGTGTCTCCTACTGGCTGCGTTCGTGGGGATTCTGGGATGTTTTACCTTTTACAAACACTTAAACCTTTTCTTGGAATTTAATGACAAATATACGAAAACTACACGCGATTTATCTCACCAATCTTGGATGCAACACTTAAAGCCGGCGCATAATGGATAAGTTTTCAGGTTTTTTGACAGTTAGCCCATGCATTATCTGTCAAAAAACCCGGAAACTTATGCATTGTGCGCCAGCCTTTACACTTGTTACAGTATCGTCTGCATGGCCAACTTATATCATTCGCTGCGGAGGATGATAGGAAATGCTAACTTCAACTAACATTGAATGTAATAAATTTTTGTTTTGCGTGGAATGGCAAAATTAGAAATTGCTTATCGCATCCAATTGTAAACGAAATAGCAGGCATGTTAAATGTCATGTCAAGACTCATGTGCCCTATTAAAATTCTTTTGAACCTACATTTAATTAAGCCAGAACAGCTGCCATTAAATCACTGCTTATCTCGTTTAATTCAAAGCAGCCTGTTACATATACGGCATCGATACCACCCATCAATTCAAACGCTTCGCCGACTCTCCACGCAGCGAACAGCACATTTGTGCAATTCCAAATCTCTCCCAGCAGCGCAGCGGATGCTGTGTATGATCATCGCTTATCAAACTGGGGCGAAAGCTCCGTGTGCTTTTGGGATGGATGCTGGCAGCCAGCCGTGTGTAGAGGAAAAATCTCCGTCGCATCTCGGCGTCGAACTTCAGTCTCGAGTAAGCCACGTACAGAAGCACAAGCAAAATCAGAAACGTTCCAGCATCCCGCAGGACATAACATAGGAGAGCAGAAACGCAATTCCCTCACATACTGGGTGGTCACAGTGCAAGAGAGGACCACCATCTTGGAAATTTTTTGTGCACCTTTGAAAACGGGAAAAAGTGATTTTGTGCAATCGAAACGTTATTCGGCCAGTGCCGTCGGGTGGCCAGTGCCCCGCGAGTGACGCGAGTTGAGTTTGGAAAAAATGTGGCCCCACCATGATGGGCTGCGAGCGATCCGAGGTTGATGGAAATTTTCCACGGCCCCGCAGCCTTCGGATGGATTTCAGTAAAAATGGATGAAAATCTGGTGCCAAGTGAAGAAGAGCCCACATCACGCCCACGTGAAAAAACGCCCCAACGGTCCGGATAAGGAGGGCTGTCGGAACCGCGTGTCAAACATCACCGACTAGTATTACCGTTAGTGCATTTACGGATGGTTGAGGTCGGAAGGATTTTTTCACTGGGAATTCGGGATTCAGGTTGAAAGGAAATTTTCCGACCCCGAGAATGGTTCGGGAAAAAACACACCCATTAAAATGGTTGTTGTTGTTGTTGTTGCAATTTTTGCGCTCTCATCGTCGATAAGAGAGCAGCGGAGAGATTGCGAGCGATTGAACAACCCAAAAAAGCTCCCATCTGGTTGGGATGTTCGACGTCCTTCGACGATGTCCTACCAGCCAACGAGGCACTACCACATGCAAGGGAGGAGGTTCCAAATCGTCTCGCTCCGAATCCGAATAGCCAGCTGCCCTTAGTTTCGTTCGTGTAGTAGTGGTGGTGGTGGTGGTGTTAGCAAGGACGACGGTAGAGACCAGTTTCATTGAGTAAAATTTTCCTGAATAGGATTGGATACGGTTCGGGGCGGCCATCTTTGCAGCTGTGCACTGCTGTTGCAACAAAGCTGGTGCGGTGTGGTGCGGTTTGAGACATTCGGAGCCTATCGAGGAGATCGCAAGTCGGGTTGGGATTGATGATGGGTGGAAAATGTAAAGCTGATGCGATGTGATGTATGGCAGGATAGATGGACGATTTATTATGTAGTTGAATATGAACACTAAACGATCGCTAATTTTCAGATAAAAGAAACACTGATCGGTCAAAATTTTGGAACATCAGCTGCAATGAGTAACTGCAGTAAATTTCGTATCGAAAGAAAATGCTCTGAGTCAATTTAATTCAGTCGCTGAGTTGTATAGTTAATCGTGCACTTTCATTTGGCAAGCCAGCGATGCCAGATTTAGTTGAGGACAATTTTACAGATTTCATAACTTTTGTAAGTGATGAGCGGGAGGTTCGACAAGGCGCCATCCTGGTTGAGGAAGGGCGCATCCATATAATTTCGTAGAAAAACACTTGGATGTTGTCTACGGATCCGCAAAATTCGATCAATTTCGTAGATCTGGCATTGCTGACCATAGGGTGTAGCACTACATCGGCAAATGGAACCCATTTCCATCATAGATAATCATCCATATTCTTGTTTTCGTTCGAACCGTATTTGCCATTAAAAAAAAAAGTTTTTTGTAATGAAAATACGGTTCGAACGAAAACAAGAATATGGGAGAATGAAGACAAACATCTGAAATGCAAGCATAAAATTCATTGGAACCAAAGTTTGATACTCTTTAACCACTCCCTATAGTAGAATTTCATGAAACCCCTCCCCCACGCCCGTTAAAGTCTACGCAAACTTTCATAATAATGTAAAAAAAAAAAATATCAGTGTATTTTCTCAGATTATATTGTATTCATCATTTCAAATCGACTTCGAATTTGTGATCAACATGTTATCACCTTTATTAAGCGCTGGAATAGGTTTTTCCAAAAAAAAAATTTCAGCTTCCAAAAGGGTTTGGAACTCGGGTCTAATTTCGAAACATTAGTTTCGAACGTTTTGTTCCTCAGGGAACTTTCATGGCAGGAGCGCGTGTTCTTTGATATTGCCTCCTACGGACATTTTTCAAACGGACCAAGAGCTGAAGATCATCGTCTATTATAATTGAATCGAATTTAATCTCGCATTTTGGTACTGAGGCAGCTCTTGCTTCAACTATAGAAGTAGTAAGAGATTCAAGCGCATAATTTATTTCATCTTTGGTCTGCATTGGAATGTTTGGATCGAAGCTACATTCCATAAATGTTCGATATTGCTCCCAATCAGCTCTAGGGTAATTGAAAGTAGAGCTGTTGGCGTTGGGATTAGAAATTATTTCTTGGGATATTTCAAAAGTTACGGGAAGGTGATCAGAACCAAAGTCAGCATGGGTAACCAATTCTAAATTAATCTAATCTAATCTAATGTAATCTAATCTAATCTAACACCAACACAGCCAGTTCTTGATAGCATCCTGGAAAATGATGGATATATCTCCATCATTTTTCTTGTCTATTTGAAATATGTTTCACATCGAAGATGCGTCACACATACCAAAACGGCCATGCCAGCTGGGCAGCATTTAAGGGGCAAAACAATTCAGAAAACATCGGGCCTGTTAAATCGAAGATTTAAACACGATGCTTCAGAATCCAATAAGAGGATGAAACATGGACATCTCGTACCGTACGTTCGGTTTTTGGTAATTATATGATTGATTGGTCATTGGAAGCATCTAAACTATAGAGGTTAAGGTGATACCAACAATCAATACGAAACTAACGATTTTAAATTGGCTCACTACTTGACTAGCCTATTGGTCCCAAGCAAACGATTAACGTTTCCCATTCTAGTCGAAATTCTACTACTACACAATGTTTGTTTTGATTCGCTATGAAAGTTCGACAGATAAAATGAGGGGTTATTGGATTTTTCTATGTTTCGAGGGGTGCATCGATTCGCTTGAGACCGAAGAGAGTACCAAAGCTGAGCCAAAAAGTAGAGCTCGTTTCTTCGGGACCTACTTGTCTTAGAGTTACCTCTATGGTGATACTCTAAGGAAGCCTTAGCGTGAAACTTCAAAGGCACAAATGTCAGCTTCCACAAAACATACAAATTTGAAATTGTTACTCCTTGTTTGCTCCCTTTTCCTCTAACAGTTGGGACATGAACACTTACCAGGAAGCTTAAAGAGCCTGAATTTATAAAGAGACGACTTGTCAAAATTGGAACAATCGATTATCTGTCAAAGTCAGTTAGGAAACGTTATTCCAATCGAGCAGAAGACCTGTCAAACGGCTAAGATGTCGTCTCTTTATAAATTCAGGCTCTTTACAGGGCGTAAGTCAAACTGCCACCTTGTGTCTGTTCTGATTGTGTTTCTTGTGTGTTTCTGGGTGTTTTTTCCGGGTCGATCAAGCTGTCAAAACTTCAAGCAAAATTTTAAGCTAACTAGCTTTTCTTCATCCTTATCAGCTGTGAAACACTTCGATCCTATGAGTGTAAAAATAGTTCGGCAGCGAAGGTGAGAGCTGTTGGGCTACCTATGCGGGTAATATCACAGGTGGGCAGGAGCTCACGGTCTCCCAGTGTTGGTGAGTTCTTTGCCGTTAATGTTCACGAAAAGTTCACTATTTTGCCATACACGGTTACCGCAAAATACCCAATAATGACTGCAAAGTAAGCATTTTCGAGGGAAACTGGGACTACCCATTAAATGAGTAAAATGTAACCCATTTATGAGTAATTACAACTACAAAAACAAGTAGTAAGTATTCATTTTTGAGTAACAAATACTCATAAATGGGTAATATTTTTACTCATTTAATGGGTAGTCCCAGTCTCTCTTGAAAATGCTAACTGTCATTATTGGGTATTTTGCGGTTACCGTGTACAGAAAATCAAAACAAAAAAAAAATATATATTGGCGGATTTGGACAGTTTTTGACTTGCTTCATACAACCAGAAGCTGTCTCACCTTTGTATTACCCGCCTAGGGACGCTACCAAATCTGTTGCCTTCGTCATAATCGAAAATGAAGAAGCTGGATAACACGCCAGATGCCCGAAATACTATAGTCGCTATATTCATAGGCTGGTGGATAGAATTTCGATCAATCAAAAAGCGAAACCAATTCAATATTTTTTAGACCAACAATTGAAAAGGTACTATCAACTTTTATAAACAAAACGTTGCTTATTTTTTCCTCGCCAATCGAACGCAAATTACCGGCAACATCGGATAGGGGAAACTTTCTCCAACCCAAAGATGGTGCTAGTTTGCGTAGGCGAGTCTTGAGTCACGAAAAAAGGGTTTCCGAAGTTTTGTTCTCAATAGCTGATGTGCTCTTTTCTGTTGTTGGTCGTGATTTGCTCGATTGGTTACGCTCTTTGACAGCTCAATTGGTTCCCGAGATTCTATCCGCCAGACTATGAATATAGCGACTATACGAAATACCATTACTTCAGCTTCGATCGAAGTTAATTCTAGAGTTAATTCCTCATTCGTGATTCAAAGATCCAATGCTCAAAAATTAGGTTTCGTTAGATCTGCAAGTGGTTCAATAAAGACTTTTGGGTACCTATACCTAGACCGGTACTTAATAAAATAGTACGTTCAATACGATTACGGTAGCCATAGACAATGTGAGCCTTTGGGGTTTATATACGCCTGGTCATTGATTGATTTTTGGAAGCATTTCAGTCAACCGACCAATGCACAGTGGTCTAAAATTCGCAAAACGTGCGTTTTTTAGTTTATGCGAAAACGGTCCATTTAAACCATATAGTGTCTTCGGAGAAATTTGTGCACTTAGAAAGCCCCTTCTTTTGAGCTTAGCCATTTTATGTATAATCCACCTAGCAGGGAGAAAACAAGCAAAACTGATTTTGTCCAAAGATGTTCAAACTCTTCTAGTTCCATCTACCGATGCATGAACCGATGGTGAAACAGAAGTAAGCGACAATTCAGTGCCAACATTTCAAAGGGGCGTAATTGCATTTGTAAACAATGGCTTTAGTCGTCGATTTCTCGCGAATGAAAGCTCACTCATGAAAATGAATGACACCAGCACGCAGAGGAATATTTCCTGTATCAGCTAGCATTTGTAATTTGAAGGGGTGGGTTTTCATTTGCGAGAAATCGACGTCTAAAGCCATTGTTTACAAAATCAATTACGCCCCTTTGAAATGTTGGCACTGAATTCTGAAAGTGACGAAGAAATGGGTAGCGATGAATTTTATTTTCTTTGATATTGTATAATGTATAACTTTATTGAGATCTTCTTCTACTTCTTATTCGCATTTCAAGCTTATTGCTTAGCGCATATTAGCTTATTGCGTGCTCTCAACTTAGTGTTCTACATGCACTTCCACAGTTATTAATTGAGAGCTTTCGATGCCAATACCAATGCATGAATTTGTATATTGTGTGGCAAGCACAATGATACTCTATGCCCAGGGAAGTCGAGAAAATTTCCAACCCGAAAGATTCGGACCGGGAATCGAACCCGCCCTCTCCAGCTTGGTAATACCGTGCCTTTACTGACTAGGCTATGAGACTCCTCAAAC